AAAGACTCCTTTTTCACAAGGAAAAGGACTCCTACCTAAACTATAATAAGGAAATAAATAAATAAGCAAATCCTAACCATAAAAGACTCTTAAATAATAAAAACATAATAAAACCTAAATTAAAAACGTGAATAAGTAAATTAAATAACTTGATCTTCAAGTCGGCTTCTCGATCACCCTTCTAATCTCGCGACATTGGGTTGTGCACGTGCATGCAATTAAAGCTCAATTTCGACACTGTTCCACTTCGAATATCTCTTCGCTCAAAACATAAAAGTTGTAGATCTTTCAGTTAGCTTTCCGAATCATTTTGAATCAGCTCAATTGAACTTCAGATGCGAGAGTTATAACCCAAATGGTAAACTCTGCCAGAATAGGCGAGAATCTCGGATGCATGGAATTCGACTTGTCCAACGAATTCTTCTCTTTCTTTTCTTCCAATTCCAAACCACAGACTCCTCAAAGGCCTGATTCAAGCCTTTATTCTTCAATCCCAACACGAACGGCTCCATTAATATCACTCGCTTTCTTTTCTTCCAATTCTTTGTCTTGGAGCTTGTGCGGATCGTATCACATACCCAACATAAAAAATAGTCAAATTCAAAATTCAAAAAATTGCTCCTCAATTAACAAGATCCACGCATTAGAGGAAGACGAATCACTGCCGCAAAATCAATTAGAATGGCCCTCCTCACATCATCCTTGGAACTCGACAATGGAGAGAAATCCTAGAACGAATAAAAAAACAAAATATAGATTGACACAACCTGTTAATCCAATCTTCAACCAAACGAAACCCTAAAATCGCGGGCATGGAAGATATGAGATGACAGCGACAGTGCAAATCAGAATTGGAGTGGAAGTCAGGCGGGGGTGTGATGGAGGAGTGGCCGGCGGCCGCAATGCGGTTGGGGGTTCTTCCCTCATCGTTGTCAAGATGTGGTGCCGCCTTCTTCCTCTCCTTGCCACCGCCTCTGACGCTGCAGATTTCTAGTTAGAGAAGAGAGAAGAAAAGATGGAGATAATATTTGACGATACAATGGTTGTTGGGTAAAAAAGATGTGGCTAGCTAGGTTTTATGTGTTAATTAGGGATAATATAGGTATAACACCTAATAATTATATATATATATATATATATATATATATATATATATATATATATATATATATATATATATATATATATATATATATATATATATATATATATATATATATATATATATATATATATATATATATATATATATATATATATATATATA